CTCAGTGTGTGAGAAAGAAGCCGGCTGGGCCGGCAGGACCTTGGGTACGAGGTAACGGGCCAGCGGCTTGGTGCTCCTGTTCGTCGCTTTCTCTTTACCGGAGGGAAATTTCCGGCCCGGCCCCAGCCCACCACTCCGCAGCTGTCCCCTAACTTAACCTTCGCAGCCCTTGGGCCCCTTCGGACGCCCAGCACACCCTGTGCCCAACCACAGGGCCTGGTCATTGTGGTCGTCGTCGTCGTCGTCGAGGTGGCGGCCTGCGGTTCAGGCAGCAGCTGCGCATGATCGAGGGCGAGCTGGGGGAGGGGAGCGGGCAGGGAGGGCAGTGGCGTCCGTGCGCCTTAGCGGAGTGCCCAGCCTGTGCCGAGCTGACCCGGTAGGGTCCCCTTGCGCAGGCCTCTGGGCTGCGCGGAGGTGGAGAACCTCGCCCACGTGTCTGTCCACCAGACTTCAGGGACCGATCTTCCAGCTGTGCCACACCTAGCGGGAAATGCTGCGCCTGGCAGAGCTCCAGTCTTCTGAGGCCCCCACCTCCGCACACCCCACCCTCTTTAAAAAACTTAGCCTGATAACAAAAGCGTTTATTCCGATCCGTACCCGCCCTGTAACCCAGGCTTAGCAGTTGCCAGGAAAACAAAACTTCTTCCATTGAAGCATTTCTTGTCACGTCACGTCTTCACGATTGGGATGAGTTTCTGGCTTTGAAATGCCAGATTGAACCTGGAGTAAATATTTGAGTTATGGCGCTCAGTGAGATCACTGCTCAGCCCCTCAGGTTTTTGAATCTTGGCATCTGGGAACATGGACAGAAAGGTCCAGGCAGGTATACTGTGGTGTACACCCTGGACTTAACTGAACTTTAGTTCTTTCATCTGCACATCTGCAGGTAGTAGGCCTACACAGTATGGAACAGTCTACCTAGACACTCTTTGGATATCTCATGGGCACCTCAAAATTGAGCTTGTCCAAATAAGGATGCAACATCTTCCCCTCAAAACCTTACTTTCTAAGGCTCCTTTGTAAAGAAAGTGGCACAATTATCTTTTATCCTAGTTCAGACAATGAGAAATGGTCTTTGCCCCTCACCCCATCAAGTCACCAGATCACGAGTAGACATCATCTTGGACATTTTCCAAACGAGTCCACTTCTCTTCATCTACGCTTTCATCGGTGTAGACCAGGCTACTATCAGTTTCTGCTTGGAACCGCAGAGTCTCCTAGCTGGCTCTTCTCCATCTGCTCTTGTTCCCACATTACAACCAGAGGGACTTATTTTTTCTAACACAGAGCTGTGTGGTCGTGCTGTTTCTTTTCTACCCTCAGTGCCTTCCTATTGCTCTTAGGATGGACTCCACAATCCATAACTTGGCCTATAAGGCAGGCCCTCATCCCTTCTCTACCTGTGCTTTCTTCCTAAATGTTCTCATTCGTTCCAACAGCTCCAAGTGCCACCTAAATACAGATGATTCAAATTTATATTTTCATCCCTTGCACACTAGGAGACCACCGCTTTAGCATATCCACTGGGATGTCTAGTAGGCCTCTCAGACTTAAGCAAAACAGAACTATCGATTGTTCTCCACAATCTCTTTCCCTAACATCCTCCCCCATCTCAGTAAAGGGTATGTACCAATAGCCACCTCATAGCAGAGGCCAAAGTCAAGTGACATCCTTGATTCCCACATGTGGTCCATCAGTCTAAAATATGCCTCAAATTCAACTATTCAATAACTACTAAGATCCCAAAGTCCAAATTGGCAACATCTTTCTCCTAGACTGCTGCAAAAGCGTCCTAACTGGTCTTTTTGCTTCTACTTGTCCTCGTAGTTTGCCTTCCTCTCAGCAGCCAGAGTGATATTCCTAAAGCATAAATCATTTTGCTCCTTTTTATAAAACCCTTTGCATAACATCTGAGTTCTTTACAACAGTCTATAGACCTTATGTGATCTGGCTACTGCCTCTCTCTGTGACTTTATCTCCTGCTACTCTGTCTTCATTCTCTATGTTCCAGTCACACTGACCTTTCTATCCATAACTCACCTATCACAGGGCATCTGTGCTTGCTGGGTTTTTTTCTGCTTGGAATGCTTTTTCCCTTGACTTTGCATGGTTATTTTCCTTTCCATTAAGGCCTCAACTCTGTTGTGATCTCTTCTGAAAGGCCACATTTCACTACTACAAAACCCTATTTTATTTTCTTCATAGTACTTAGAGTACTTCAAATTACATTTATTTATTTATATGTTTGCTGTTGCTCTCCACACCTCCTGAAGTGTNTTTGCTGGCCACATTTCACTACTACAAAACCCTATTTTATTTTCTTCATAGTACTTAGAGTACTTCAAATTACATTTATTTATTTATATGTTTGCTGTTGCTCTCCACACCTCCTGAAGTGTAAGCCCTTAAAGATGGAATCATGTTTCTCTTTTTACCCAGTTCATCAGTGCTCAGAACAGTGCCTGATGCAGAACAGAGCCCGAGGCTATCAAATGTGTGGTGACTGACTCACTTGCAGTCTTATCTCCTAGAACTGTCCTTCTTGCCCACTGTGTTCCAGGTTACTATACTTCTCTCTTTTGAAAATGCCATGCTGGTCCCAACTGAGGACTCTTGCATCTTCATTTGTGCATTCCTGAGTCACACTCATCCTTCAGGCAGGAGTCACTTACCTAGAGCGGGCTCTCCTGACTTCCATTCTAGGTTAGGGTAGTCTGTAACATGGCCCATCCATATCACCCTATCATTTTTTATATTAGTTGTTACAGTTATAATTACCTGTAAGCTCACTATAGGCAGGGACCAAGTTTGTGTGTGTGTGTGTGTTTTAACTCAGAAAGGCTTTTTACTTACAGTTAGGGTTTATTACACTGAACGGACACAGAGTGAAAATATCAAAAGGAAGAGGAGCATAGGATCCATAGAAGATGCCAGGCATGAGAGCCTAGTTGTCCTTTCCCAGTAGAATCAAGCGAATAAGTAGCCAGTCCTCCCCGCCAACAATATGTGACAACATACAGAGAGTATTGCAGACAGGTATGCTAACATGAGCTTTGGTGTCTGGGCTTTTTTTTTTTAATTCTCACCCAAGGATGGATATATATATATATTAATATATCTTTATTGATTTCAGAGAAAGGAAGGGACAGGGAGAAAGAGAGATAGAAATATCAGTGATGAGAGAGAGTCATTGATCGGCTGCCTCCTGCACCCCCTCTACTGGGGGTTGATCTCGCCACCTGAGCATGTGCCCTGACCGGGAATCGAACCTCGATCTCCTGGATCATAGGCTGATGCTCAACTGCTGAGTCATGCTGGCCGGTGGAAGTTCTTTTATTCTTTAACACTGGAAGATTTTCTCTTCAAATAATACCAGAAAAAATTATCATCTCCTTCCACCTCCATAGGCAATATCATTATCCTCATATAGCATTCAGTCCTGCTTCAGGTTCTGTGCACTGACCCAGGTTTTTCTTTATGTGAAACAAATTACTAAGACCTTGAAAAATCTTTCTTTCAAACATCAGTGCCAACATGTCATTTAAGTCTTAAGTATTGGAGATTTTCAAGGAAAGATTGAGATTTGTCAGATCATTCACTGAGATTAAAGCTAATCTTTTTTCCTCTCTTAAATTTGTTTTTCTAGTATAGCATTAATAGAGAAACTTCAAATCTATCAAAACAGCTAATGTTTATATAATACTCTAGAGTTTATGAAGTGCTATTTTATAGCATCATCTCATTTAATGCCCACAAGAATTTGAGGAGTAGATGAGATCCCCATCTGTAGATGCAGAAACTGAGAAAAGAGGCTAAGTGAGTTGTTCAGGGTTTAATAACTAATAAGAGGCAGAGCTAGGACTCAAGCCTTAGTCTTCCAATTCCAAATCTTATGTCTTTTCCACTATCCCATATTGCCTATAACTTTTTTTGTTTTAAAGCCATCAAATCTAGCCTGGGTTCCTGCTATGCCTTGGGCATGGAGAATCAGGAAGATTTTTCTCAGGATATGAACAGTATTTCCCCTCTGGTAATTTTGCAATTGGCACCAACTATTTCTTTTCACTTTTGACTGCAATTCTAGTCTAAATAGTCTGTGGGCTCTGGCTCCAACCTCCGGTCATTCTAATCCCAAATAGCTGAGATCAGACACTGGGATATATCTTTACTGGCAGTCCCAGGCTTGAACTTTGGAAACTGTGGGAAATTCCATTCTTTGGGCACATAGATCTTCTGACACCACCATACAGGAGTTTTCCCTGCTAAGTAGAAATGGTATCAGTAATATGGAGTAAAGTAATGAAAATAGTCCTTTATGTGCATATAATATTTTAGTATTTACAAAATGATTTTATATTCATTATTTTTTTCCTTCCTAATAACCCCAGGAAGCAGAGTGGAAAAATGGTTAAGAGCATCAAGTCTGGATTTATACTGTCCCAGTTTGAATCCCATTTTCAACATTCAAAGCTATGGAAATTACTTCATCTTTCAATGTCTCAGTTTCCTCATCTATCAAATTTAGACTACTTATAGGCATATTGTGAGGACTGAGATAAGAGGGCATGGGAAAAAAATTGTTAGTTCTTATGTCAATAAGAAAACCAAAGCCCAGAGAAACTAAGTAAGGACTAACCTGAGATTTAAACCTACGTTGTTCTTACTTCGTGCCTGTTCTTTCTACGTCATCTCAGCTTCCTCTGAAATCAGTACCTTGCATTGTATAAAGGTAGCTTTAATCTTCAAGAAATATGGACTTCTTACTCTCGTTATTTATTTATTTTAAAAATATATCTTTATTGATTTCAGAGAGAGGAAGGGAGAGGGGGAGAGAGAGATAGAAACATCAATGATAAGAGAGTGATTGATTGATTGCATCCTACACGCCCCACACTGGGGATCGAACCTGCAGCCTGTGACCTGACTGGGAATTGACCGCCCTCCTGGATCCTAGGTTGATGCTCAACTGCTGAGCCACGCCCGGCCAGGCTCTCATTGTTTATTATTTAATCTATATGAAGGGACAGAAAGTGCAGGGTTTGTTATCTCTACAAAGGAAAAAGAGGCACAGAAAAATCCTAGTGACTTAGAAAATTACAGTGTGCTTGATCCTTAGCTCTGAGCACATACCAATTGCCCTTTTGGAGAAGAGACATGCTATCCTTCTTTTTCATCTCTCCCCTTTCCTGAGTTTCCTGCAGAGAGGACCTTAAGTGGCAGAGATTCTGGACTAGGAAAAGTAAAACTAGTAAGTGCTAGGAGGATAGTAGGCACTGTGGCACAGTGCAGTCTCACAGGTGGTGAAGAGGAAGAGCGAGAGGCAGTGAAGGTGAGGCATTCCTCAGCACCACTGGGAAACTGTGTACATCCTTATTTGCTGCATTGGCTATGGCAGGGAGGTGTCCTCCTCTCTTAACTGCATGTAAGGTTAATAGCAGAGGTCTTCCTGATTGTGCCACTTACTGGTATATCCTTTAGATTGTTTAATAATTTGGCTTGAGCCCTGTTCACGTTGGCCTAGGTTACAGGGAAAGTGAGGACAGGGAGCAGAATAGACTCAACAGATATTTGGGGATAGATATTTAAACCCTGTGAGTCATCAGATGTTAGTATTATTTTCATGAAAGAAAAGTGATGTGCACAAGGTTGTAAGGTAAATGACAAAACTTGCTCAGGACTTTTGACTTCCAAGTATAGAGATCGTCCCAAAACAGCATGTATACTCCCCATGCGGGTAGGAGTACGGTCCAGGTGATGAATATCAGAACTGAGCCTGGGACATAGGCAGTAGTGCTAAGTGTTGGACATTTTACTCATAAAGAATGCTACAGATTGGGCAAGTTTTCTTTTCATACATAAGGAGCCATCTTTACCTTTTTAATAATTTTCTAATATTTCTACTTTATTTAGGCTATTGTTTGGGAGCAATGAGTTTAAAACCCTTCACCTACCCATTTCCAGAGACAAGATTTCTTCATTCAGGATCCAATGTATATAAATTGAAAATCAGATATGGCAACAGCATCAGGTAAATTTAAAGCTAGGAGGGGTAGCCTTTGCAAACAGGTTAGTGCATTTTCTCACAGGTCATCATCCCTTCTCTGTCTTCACCCAGTCCAGGAGACTGGCTTGAAGTAGCACCTTGTAGGACTTTATTTCCCAGGTATTTTATATTCCATATGTTATTACTCGTGTATGTTTCTAAATTAGTGATGGCATACCTTTGGGGCACTGGTTCTCAAAATTTTTTACCTCAGAACCTCTTTGCACTCTTACAATTATTGAGTATCCCAAAGTTTTTGATTATGTGGGTTATAGCTGTCAATATTTATCATATAAAAATTAAAACAGAAAAATTAACATAACTACTAATTTAAAATATATATCATTAAATGTTCTTTAAATTGATTTGAGAGAGAGAGAGAGAGGGAGAGGGAGAGAGAGAGGAAGGGAGAGAGAGAGAAACATCGATCGGTTGCCTCCTGTATGCACCCTGACCAGGGATCAAACCCTCCACCTGGGTATGCACCCTGACCAGGAATTGAACTAGTAGCCTTTGGGTGCATGGGATGACGCTCAACCAACCGAGCTGCACCAGCCAGGGCTATAATATGTTTTAAATGGAAAATAACAGTTGTTGGCAAAGATGTGGAGAAATTGGAATCTTCGTATATTGCTGGTGGAAATAAAATAGTGTAGCCACTATGGAAAACAGTTTGGCGGTTCCTCAAGAAGTTAAACATAGAATTACCATGTGACCCAGTAATTTCACTCTTAGGTAAAATTGTACAACAGCGTTTATAACAGCATTATTCACAATAGCCAGAAGGTGAAAACAGCTAAAGTGTTCATCAGCAGGTAAATGGATAAATAAAATGTGGTTATATGTGTGGTATATATACATATATACAATGGGATATTATTCAGCCATAAAGACAAGTTGCAAAAGGAATGAAATTCAGATACATGTACAGCATGGATGAACTTTGAAACATTATGCTAAAGAAATAAGCCAGTAACAGAAGGACGGATACTGTATGATTCTACTTCTATGAAATATTAGAATACGAAAATTCAGAGACAAAAGTAAATTAGAGGTCATCAGGGGCTGGATGGAGGGGAGAATTGGGAATTACTACATAATGAGTATAATATTTCTGTTTGGGGAGATAAGCTTTGGAAATAGATAGTGGTGATGGTTACACACCATGGGTTGTAAATGTAATTAATACTACTGAATCATATACTCAAAAATGGTTAAAATGGCAAATTTTACTACAATTTTAAAATGTATTAATTAATTTATTGATTTTAGAGAGAGAAACATTGATTTATTGTTCCACTTATGCATTCACTGGTTGCTTCTTGTATGTGCCCTGACCAGAGATCGAACCTCCAACCTTGGCGTATTTGGCAACACTCTAACCAACTGAGCTACCCAGCCAGGGCTTTTTACTTTTTACTGTGGTAGTTTTTTAAAGGATAATTGCAATGTGAAATCTGAAATTATATCAATGGACTTTTTGAACTCTGCTGCATTAAAATTCATTGGTCATTCTTGTTCTTTGAATGAATCTTTTACCTAGAATGATTTTGTAACAATGTGTTTCATTGGTCATTTGGAAAACATTGGTTCACTGACTTATGCAAATCATCCAAATAGCAACACATTTCATTATACAGGCATACCTTGGAGATATTGTGGGTTTGGTTCCAGACCACCACAGTAAAGCAAGCCGTAATCTTTTTCCCGGTGGAGAGTTTTGCCTTGAATTTTTAAAAAGGGCAACATCTATGAAGCACAATAAAGCAAAGCACAATGAAATGAGGTATGCCTGTACAATATCAAAAAATCATATTTGCTAATATCACTACTGTCTCATCAGAAAAATATTTTAAGTATTTGGAACCTGCCAACCTCATTGTGGTGGACAGAAGTTTTCTAAAGTGCAAATTTTTGCTTGAAATCCCAAAATTTATCATTGATGACAAATACTATCACTCGTCATTTGACAACAAATACTTGAATTGATAAACTTACTGTTCATTTTTGAGGAAATGTCATATTACCAAGTCTGAATAATAACCACACTTTGTGTGTCAACTGATCATTCAAGTAAAATGCTGCTCTGTGAGCCCTGGCCTGTGTGGCTCAGTGGATAGAGCGTCGGCCTGTATACCAAAGGGTCACAGGTTCGATTCCCAGTCAAGGGCGCGTACCTAGGTTGCAGTTTTGATCCCCAGCCCCTGTTGGGGCACATATGGGACAACCAATTGATGTGTCTCTCTCACATCAATGTTTCTCTTTCTCTCCCTCTCTTTTCCCCTCCCTACCTTCTACTCTCTAAAAAACAAGCAATAGAAAAAACATCCTCAGGTGAGGATTAACCAAAAAAAAAAAAAAATTCTGTTCCAGATTGGCTGTGTAGCTCAATGGTTGAGTGTCAACCCATGAACCATGAGGCCACCACCGGATTCTCGGTCAGGGCACATGCAAGGTTGAGGGCTCCCTGCCCAGTAGGGGGTGTGCAGGAGGCAGCCAATCAATGACTCTCATCATTGATGTTTCTCTCTCCCTTTCCCTTCCTCTCTGAAATCAATAAAAACATATTTTTAAAAAAATACTGTTCCATGAAAAGAGCAGCTAGTTGTTTGCAGCTTAGTTGCACAAGCGCTTTTCCTCCAGACAACTGATATTTCTGTAGGCAGAAGTGCTTTATGCATGCTTCCCACTTTATCACATAACATATTTAAAAGACATGCATTCAAAGGTTGAGATTAAATTTTTACTTCTCCCTCAGAGATATTAAATGAAACTGGATTTTTTCCCTGTGTGGCAGTAATGATCACTACAACTGTTAGTATGGTTTAGTGTAACTGGCTCGACTTATGCTAAGACACCAGCAATTTTGCTCACCATTGTTTTTGTGCTAATGATTACAAATGTTAGCACACTGAAAAAGGCAAATAACATCTTAGTATTATTATAAAAATAATAAGTTTGCCCTTGGAGACCCCTTTAAAGGGTCTTGAGGACCCCTAGGAGTCATCAAACTATACTTGAGTACAAATGGTCTAACAAATTAATAACTTTCACAGTGGGAATTTCAGGTCTTGGCAAGTTAGTGGAGAAGATACTTTGGTATATAGCCTTGTACCTATTCTCAGACCACACCACCTAGGTGATCACTTCCTCCTATGAGTACTGGGTCAGCACAGACATTTATTATTTAGTCATGTTTCTTTAGCTCAGTGGAAGTGTTATTTTTGCTCTACTTTCTGTTGTCTCCAGAGTTTTTCTTCTTGGCTTACTTACCTCTTGTTTATTTACCTTCTAGAGGGGAAGATATAGAAAATAAGGAAGTCGTCGTCCAGGAGCTGGAGGTAGGGAAAGAAGCTGACAGCTTCTGGGAAAGTAATTCTTTAAGCCAAGGATGCATCCATATCCAGATTTTAATTATTTCTTACCAACTGAGTCACAACCTCCACTTGATTACTTCTCCCTGCCACATTTCCTCTGCAAAGAAATTTTACTGTTTTTCCAGGGAAATTAAAGCCTATATCCTTTCTCAGTTTTCCTAGTTGAAGTGTCAGCACCTTTCAGGCCGAGTTATTTTGTTTCTACCAGAGTTTCCAGCCCTGTGCAGCTCTCTTTTGTGGCAGCTGGCATAGAGAAAGCTTCTGGAGAACTGGAAGGACTGCCGCCTTCCAGGGCTCAGAGAAACCTCACCATCCCAACCACTGCCTGGTACTTGACGTTCAGGAAACTCCAGTGTAAATAGAGAGACAAGGCTGCTGTGTCTTCATTTTAATTGGAAACATTTGCCATTGCTTTATTCCTACTTCATTTTCATTCCTTTTCTGCCCAGCTCCTCTAGCTTTAGGTTTTCCCACAGGAAGAAGACTGAGCAGGTGGACATTTTTGTATTGGTAAAAGCACTGGGCTAGGGGTTAGAGTTCTGGGAACTGGCCCTGGATTCCAGTCCTGGCTGAGCCACTAATTAGCTGTGTGGCCCTCAGCAAATCACTTATTTCTCTGGGTCTTGATTGCCTCATTGATAGAGTTTTAAAGTAGTTTATTCTCTTCTAACTTCACAACTCAGTGATTTAAGACTATTGTGGTTTATGAAGACATATGCTGCCACATTTCAAAGAATTCAAATATAATTAAATACACAAATACTCTGTGAAACCAAAAATTTGAGTCATAGCCTTAAAGATACTTGTGGTTCTTTGGGTAAGTGTTGAAAGATATATTAGGATCTTGCAGGACCTCAGAGACATCGTTATAAATAACAATATAGGACCATGACAGTTTTTTGCTTGTCTTAATTGTGAGTAGAGCAGAATTTATTTCACTTTGCTTCACTTAATTTGGGCAGAGAACTCAAGACAGCATAGTAAAGTGGAACGGGCATAGACTTTAGAGCCAGTCAGACTGGATTTGAATTCCAGTGCTGCCTTCACAGGTAACTTTGGGCAAGTGACCTACCTTCCCTGAGTCTGTTTCCTTACTTGTCAATCAGGGAAATAGATAATGCCTGTTTTCAAGATTGTGGTAAGGATTAGAAATAGATGTGTGCAGTGCCTGCCACATAGTAAAGTTTTCAAAGTGCTTTTTATATGTTCTCTTTCTCTTGCTGTCATTAGTTTTGAGGCAGATGTTATTCTCTTTCATTCATTTAGGAAACATTTAGTGATAGGCAGTGTAGCCTAATTGTTAAGAGTGTAAGTTCTGGAACCCCACTACCTGGTTTTATATCTTGGCTCCACCATTATTAGCTATGAACCTTGAATAAGTTATTTCACTTCTCTATCTTAGTTTCCTTATTATAAAATGGGGATAATACAAGTGTCTATCTCATAGGGTTTTTAGTGAGTGTTAAATTAATATGTATCAAAACATTAGATATTAAAAATTATAAGCTTGATACTATGCTTAGTACAGAGAAAGATAAATAAGACACAATTTCTGCCTTCTTTGAGCCCAAATATGAGTAAATGAGCCCAAATGAGAGAGGAAATGACAAAGTTAGGACTGAGATTCAGATTTTTCCCCCTATAGAAGTCTAGTAGTCTTTTTATGATACCAAATTGTTTAATTAGTAATAAGCCTAGGTTAATTAGAGATTAATTGATTAAGATTTTAAAAGAGTAGAAGAAAAGGTTTGACTTAAGCAAAGGCAATATAACTATGTATCAGTAAATACCAGGATTATTCGTTCATTCAGTATATGTTTACTGGAGACCTGTTTTGTATCATCCACTATGGTAGACACCATGGAAGGGGTACTAAAATAAATCAGGTATATATTCTACCTGAGGAGATTTCTCAGTAAGGAAAATAAAACATATATAGATGGAATGTAGTAAAGGCCCAAGGCCAGTTAATTACAACTTGGAGAATTGAGGGAAATTTTCTGGAGATGGCTTTGAAGTGTACCTTAAAGGTAGGTAGGACTTAGACATAAGCTGATGGATGGAAAGGGCATTTCAGGCAGAGGGAATGGACTATGCAAGAGCATAGAAATGGAGATACAGAAGCCACATTTAGGGAACAGTAAATAGTTCAGCTTTAATAGAATATGGGGTATGTAAAGAACAGGGACAAGTATAAATGGAAAGATTGGCTGACACTAGACAGGATTAGTCATTTCAAATATTTTTTTCAGGATTCCATTCGTGTGGTCTTGGGAAATTTGGACAATCTGCAGCCATTTGCTACAGAACACTTCATTGTATTTCCCTGTATCCTTTCATTTCTGGATAGGAATGAGCTACAACTTACATTGTAGGTTGAAATGGAAGCAACAAACCGTTAGGTAGTTTGGAGGGTAAGTCAGGGAAAGGAGAAAGAGTCTTATCCCTAAAAAGTACTCAGGGATTCATATTGACTTCTTTCCTCATTCCTTAGCACTGTTTCCCAGATAAAAGCAAATGGGAGAGAGTGTCCCGCTTGAAATTCAAACACGGGGAAATCGTCTTGGTCCCCTACCCATTTGTTTTGACTCTATACGTGGAGATGAAATGGTTTCATGAAAACCTGTCACCTGGTAAGTGGAGTGATGGAAGTGTGGGTGGTGAAGAAATAAAAGGAGAAGGTTGAGCTTCCGTGGGTTAGCAGTGCAAGCTGAATACGGCAGAATGTCAGCCAGGCTGGGCCAGTACCACACAGTGCAGAGGTCAGGAGCATGTGCTCCAAGCCAGATGGCCTGGTTCAAATCCTGGTGGCTTTGCCACTGAGTCTGTGTGACCTTCGATAATTATTTTGTTTAATCCTCACCTGAGATACATTTTTTAAATTTAATTTTTAGATAAATTTAATTTTAATTTTTCTGTGCCTCCTTTGTGAAATGGTGAAGAAGAATAGTACCTATCTCGTTGAGTTATTAAAACTATTAAATATATAAATATGGAAGATGGAAAGTAAGTACAAAGTCTGACAGTAATCACTCAGTGGAAGAGACCTATTTATTATATGAGTGCTTCCTTCCATTTTAGAGTATTCAGTGACTTTCATTTTAGTGGTATCTCACAATTTTTAATCTCTAAGGGCCATCACAATTTTTACTTATAGAGGAACAAGTAGACACCTGCCAGGTTGATTTGGAAAAGAGTACAAAGGCCTTGCCTCAAAATATCTCCCCAGTTAATTTGTTACTGATGCTTAAAGTTCCACCTTTTATTTCATAGTAGGGACCCCCTTTTTAAGTGGCATCTCATTAGAATACAGTGTGAATCAAACTCTAAATTTTCAGCTTGTAGATGATAATAGTTCTAAAATAGGGGAGAAAGATACTTTTGAAGACTATTTCTAGGATAAGTGGTACCAGGCAGAAGAGGAAAGCGTATACACAGAGGTTTTGTATAGTAAAACAAGTAAATGGTAGCCAGAAATCCAGGTGAAACAGTGTTTCGATCCATTATGACGTTTAAATTTCCTGTTGCAGGGAAACCAATAAAGGACAGTCCTCTTGGGTTGGTAAGTTTGCCTTTTGTATATAATGTGAAAATTGCCTTTATTGCTTCATGTTGTCTAAAAAATCCTTCTCTCGTCTCTTCCTCTTACTTTTTCCCTTTTTGCTGCCCAGGTTCAATCAGAATTGGACACATGAGCCCTGGCCGGATAGCTCAGTTGGTTAGAGCATTGTCCCCATATGCCAAGGTTGTGGGTTTGATCCCCGGTCAGGGCACATACAAAAAGCAACCAATGAATACATAAATAAGTGAAACAACAAACTGATGTTTCTCCCCGCCCCCCCTTCCTTTCTGTCTCTAAAATCAGTAACTAAATTTTAAAAAAAAGAAAAAAAGAATTGGATACATGAAACCATCTTTTCCCCCTTGGATAAATTTCTAAGACTAACAGAATGTCTACCCTTACTTGCAAAGTTGGCAAAGTTGCCTTTGACAACTTAAAGATGGGGAGTTCACTGTGCCCTCATGAACTGAACAGCTCTGGAAAAGGAGGATTCATGGGCGTCTGGTTCCTCTCTGAAGGTCCTAGCTGAGAAGAAAGCAGCAGGAGCCATGAAGAAGAAACGAAAACGCATGGAAGTGTCCAGCTCCCCCAGCAGGCCAGCGCTGGACAGGTCAGTGGTGTTGGGAGAGAGTCAAAATCCTGCATTCTAGTTAGGCCTTGCCAGCTGTTGCTGCTGGTTGATCTTGTCCTTGGGCGAGTCACCTTCTCTCTCAGGGCTTCATTGGTACCTGCCTATTCCAGTGGATGGACTAAGGGAAGGAAGCAAGTTGATATTTGCAATGTAATTTGAATACAGTCCTTTCCTCAGCAAAACAGGATTCTTCTGTTCATTAAGACGAAGGCTGACAAGAAATGCAATCAGATCTATACAATTGTGTCCAACACGTATTCATTGAGTACTTACTATGGTCGTACTACCAGAAAATGCAATCAGAAGGCACAAGATTTAAGAAGTCCCAGGATATTATACAAGAACACAAAACAAATAAAATGTAATTCTGTCTTACCTAGTGAGCAGTAAGCTTTTAGAAATCTACCTTAAAAGATAGTCCAGTCTAAGATATAAATGTCTGCTCCCTAGCCAGTTTGGCTCAGAGTGTCTGCCCTTGGACTAAAGGGTCTCTGTATGATTCAAGTCAAGGGCATATACCTCAGTTGCAGGTTTGATCCCTGGCCCAGGTCGGGGCACGTGCAGGAGGTAACCAATCAGTGTCTCTCTCACATCGATGTTTCTTTCTCTCTCTCCCCCTTCCACTCTCTCTGAAAAAGCAACAGAAAAAATTTCCTCAGGTGAGGATTTAAAAAAAAAAAAAAAATATATAT